CATCCCTGCAGCCCTCACCTGCTTCATCATGGAGTGCAGAGCCACCGAGGGGAAGCGGAACCTCCTCAGCATCATGTTCAGCACCTGGCAGTCCCTGAGAGGAGGGGGAAAAAAACCCCAAAATCCTCAGGATGCACCGAGGGAACGGGACAGGACAAGAAAGATTGGAATTGTCCTGCTCCAGCACGGGCTGGGGGAATTCCAGGGGTGGGAAAACTGGGACAGGCAGGGATTCTCTGTCCCAGGATTCTCCAGCACAGCCTGTGGGAATTCCAGAGGTGGGAAAACCATCCCAGGATTTTCCAGCATGGCCTGGGACAATTCCAGAGGTGGAAAAACCATCCCAGGATTTTCCAGCACGGCCTGGGAGAATTCCAGGGGTGGGAAAACTCTGACAGGCAAGGATTCTCTGTCCCAGGGTGCTCCAGCACAGCCTGGACAATTCCAGAGGTGGAAAAACCATCCCAGGATTTTCCAGCATGGCCTGGGACAATTCCAGAGGTGGGAACACTGGGCCAGGGCTGAGTGGCAGGAAAAAGGCCAGGAAAAGGCTGGAAAAGGCCAGGAAAAGGCTGGAAAAGGCCAGGAAAAAGCCAGGAAAGGGCCGGGAAAAGGCTGGAAAAGGACGGAAAAGGCCGGGAAAAGGCTGGGAAAGGCTGGGAAAGGCTGGGAAAGGCTGGGAAAGGCAGGAAAAGACCAGGAAAAGGCCAGGGAAACGCTGGGAAAGGCTGGAAAAGGCTGGAAAAGGCTGGAAAAGGCTGGAAAAGGCTGGGAAAGGCTGGGAAAGGCTGGGAAAGGCCAGGAAAAGGCTGGGAAACGCTGGAAAAGGCTGGAAAAGGCCTCACTTGCAGGTTTTGGTGAAGATGATGATGGCCCAGTCCTCGTGCTGCTGCTGGAAGCTCTGCACCAGCTGCACCAGGTACGCGTCCTTCACCGCCTCAGGCACCAGCACGTAGCGCTGCTCCAGCTGCTCCACCGTCCTCACCCTCGGGACAGCCACAGCCCGGCGTCAGCCAGCCTGGAAAACCCTCCAGGATCGGCCCAGCTTTTCCCTGGCCGCCTTTTCCATGAGGAAATTCCCGCTGTTCTCCCACCTGCAGCTCCCTGGGGCCGTTCCCTCCTGTCCTGGTGTCCCCCCGGGGCTGTCCCCTCCTGCCAGGGACGTGTGGAGATTGGGAATGGCCCCCCTGATCCCGCTTTTCTCCAGGCTGAGCCCCTTCCCAGCTCACCCAGGAATCCTCCAGAACATTCCCAGCTCCCCCAGGAATCCTCCAGAACATTCCCAGCTCCCTCAGGAATTCCCAGCTCCCCCAGACCATTCCCAGCTCCCCCAGGAATCCTCCAGAACATTCCCAGCTCCCCCAGACCATTCCCAGCTCCCCCAGACCATTCCCAGCTCCCCCAGACCATTCCCAGCTCCCCCAGACCATTCCCAGCTCCCCCAGACCATTCCCAGCTCCCCCAGATCCTTCCCAGGAATCCCCCAGACCCTTCCCAGCTCACCCAGGAATCCTCCAGACCATTCCCAGCTCCCCCAGACCATTCCCAGCTCCCTCAGACCCTTCCCAGCTCCCTCAGGAATTCTCCAGACCATTCCCAGGAATCCCCCAGAACATTCCCAGCTCCCTCAGGAATTCTCCAGACCATTCCCAGCTCCTCCAGACCATTCCCAGCTCCCTCAGGAATTCTCAGCTCCCCCAGGAATTCTCCAACCCCTTTCCAGTTCCCTCAAAAATTCCCAGATCCTTCAGGAGTTCTCCACCCCTTTTCCCAGGAATTCTCCAGACCCTTCCCAGGGATCCCCCAGACCATTCCCAGCTCCCTCAGGAATTCCCAGTTCCCTCAGGAATTCCCAGTTCCCTCAGGAATTCCCAGCTCCCTCAGGGATCCCCCAGCCCCATTCCCAGGAACTCTCCAGCCCCTCCACCTCCTGACACCCCAAAACGCCCGGAGGCTCCTCAGCACTGCCAGCACTGAGGAGGAAAAAAAAGCAGGAAAACCCCAAAAAAAACCCAGGAAAACCCCCCAAAAAAAGCAGGAAAAGTGGGAATTGTGGCACTGACTGGGATGGAGCCTCCCAGAAGAAGGGGCTGTTGGCGGCCAGCCCGCGCAGCTCGCTCAGCGTGGCCGTCAGCGTGGCGCTGAACAGCAGCGTCTGCCGGCGCCGCGGCACCGCCGCCAGGATCAGCTCCAGATCCGCGCTGAAATCCGCACAGCCCTGCTCCAGCAGCCGGTCAGCCTCGTCCAGAACCTGGGAGATGATTCCTGAGGCTGAAATCCCGGGTGGGGACGCGGCAGGGTTCACAGAGATACGGCCAGGGAGGGAGGAAACGCAGCGGGATTCCCAAAATCCACCCAGGGATCAAAGGATCCCAGCAGGATTCCAGGGAATCCATCCAGGGATGGAGGAAATCCAGCAGGATTCCCAAAATCCACCCAGGGATCAAAGGATCTCAGCAGGATTCCCAAAATCCACCCAGGGATGGAGGAAATCCAGCAGGATTCCCAAAATCCACCCAGGGAGGGAGGAAACGCAGCAGGATTCCCGAAATCCACCCAGGGATCAAAGGATCTCAGCAGGATTCCCAAAATCCACCCAGGGATGGAGGAAATCCAGCAGGATTCCCAAAATCCACCCAGGGAGGGAGGAAACGCAGCGGGATTCCCAAAATCCACACAGGGGTGGGGGAAATCCAGCAGGATTCCAGGGAATCCATTCAGGGATCAAAGGAGCCCAGCAGGATTCCCAAAATCCACCCAGGGATGGAGGAAACCCAGCAGGATTCCAGGGAATCCATCCAGGGATGGAGGAAACGCAGCGGGATTCCCAAAATCCACCCAGAAAGGGAGGGAACGCAGTGGGATTCCAGGGAATCCATTCAGGGATCAAAGGATCCCAGCAGGATTCCCAAAATCCACCCAGGGAGGGAGGAAACGCAGCAGGATTCTCAGGAATCCATTCAGGGAGGGAGGAAACACAGCAGGATTCCAGGGAATCCATGAAAGGACCAAGGAAACACAGCAGGATTCTCGGGAATCCACACAGGGATCAAGAAACCCAGCAGGATTCCTGGGAATCCCCCCAGGGATGAATCAATCCCATCAGGATTCCCAGGATTTCCCCCAGGAATGGAGAAAACCCATCAGGATTCCCAGGATTTCCCCAGGGATGAACCAATCCCATCAGGATTCCCAGAAATCCCCCCAGGGATGAATCAATCCCATCAGGATTCCCAGGATTTCCCCAGGGATGAACCAATCCCATCAGGATTCCCAGAAATCCCCCCAGGGATGGAAGAATCCCGTCAGGATTCCCAGGATTTCCCTCAGGAATGGAGAAAACCCATCAGGATTCCCAGGAATTCCCAGGGATGAATCAATCCCAGCAGGATTCCCAGGATTTCCCTCAGGGATGGAGAAAACCCATCAGGATTCCCAAGAGTTCCCCAGGGATGGAAGAATCCCATCAGGATTCCCAGAAATCCCCCCAGGGATGGAGAAAACCCATCAGGATTCCCAGGAATTCCCAGGGATCCAGGATTTACCAGGAATCTGATCCTCCTGAGGCTGAAGGTGCTGGAGCTGCGCAGGTGGTCGGCGAGGCGCCCGGGGGTGGCGATCACCACGTGCGGCTTCCGGGCCAGCTCCAGCGCCTGGGCCACCATGTCTGCGGGAAAACCGGGAATGGCGGCCGGAATGGTGATCCCAGTGCCGGGAAAACCGGGAATGGTGCCCGGAATGGTGATCCCAGTGCCGGGAAAACCGGGAATGGTGCCCGGAATCACCATCCCAGTGCCGGGAAAACCGGGAATGGTGCCCGGAATGGTGATCCCAGTGCCGGGAAAACCGGGAATGGTGCCCGGAATGCTGATCCCAGTGCCGGGAAAACCGGGAATGGTGCCCGGAATCACCATCCCAGTGCCGGGAAAACCGGGAATGGTGCCCGGCTGCCAGGAACCCCGCCGGGATCGGGAATGGGGAAATGGAGCTCTGGGAGCGGGGACAGCCCTGGGGAGGGCTGGGGATGGGATTTGGGATGGGTTTTGGGGAATTTGGGATGGATTTTGGGGGATCAGGGATGGGTTTTGAGGGATTTGGGATGGGTTTTGGGAGATCAGGGATGGATTTTGTGGGATCAGGGATGGATTTTGTGGGATCAGGGATGGATTTTGTGGGATCAGGGATGGATTTTCTGGGATCAGGGATGGATTTTCTGGGATCAGGGATGGATTTTGTGAGATTTGGGATGGATTTGGGGGGATTTGGGATGGATTTTGTGGGATTTGGGATGGATTTTGGGGGATCAGGGATGGATTTTGTGGGATCTGGGATGGATTTTGTGGGATCAGGGATGGATTTTGTGGGATCAGGGATGGATCTCGTGGGATCAGGGATGGATTTTGTGGGATCAGGGATGGATTTTGTGGGATCAGGGATGGATTTTGGGGGATCAGGGATGGATCTCGTGGGATCAGGGATGGATTTTGTGGGATCAGGGATGGATTTTGTGGGATCAGGGATGGATCTCGTGGGATCAGGGATGGATTTCACAGAAAGATCCCTGATCTCCCAGAGCGCGCTGGGCACTGCCCCCCCCGCAGGGAACACCCCCAGCCCCGCTCCAGGCGCTCCCGGCCGTTCCCAGGACGGGATTTTTGGGATCAAGCGATCCCGGGGATCCCCCCAACCCCTGAGGGATCCCCCAGACTCACCCAGGCCGCCCACCACCACGCTGTCCTTCAGCCCCAGCGGCTTCCCCAGCACGCGGAACTGCTCGGCGATCTGGCACGCCAGCTCCCTGCGGGGACCCCGCGCTCAGCCACGGATCCCGGGGATCCGGGGGATCCCAGGGGATCCAGGGGGATCCCGGTACCTGGTGGGGGTCAGCACGAGGCAGAAGATGCCGTAGGGATCCTCGGACAGCGCCTGCAGCACCGGCAGAACGAACGCTGCGGTTTTACCGCTGCCCGTCTTGGAACAGCACAGACAGTCCCGGCCTGAGGGGACGGGGAGAGGTCAGCGGGGACGGGAATGGGAGAGGGAGAGGGGAGAGGGAATGGGGGAATGGGAATGGGGGAATGGGGGAATGGGAACAGGAGAGAGAATGGGAATGGAGAATGGGAACAGGGAATGGGAGGGGGGAAAGGGGAGAAGGAAATGGGAACGGGAGAGGGGAATGGGAGCAGGGAATAGGGAACGGGGAACAGGAATGGGAGAGGGAGAGAGAACGGGAATGGAGAATGGGAACGGGAGAGGGGAACGGGGAACAGGAGAGGGGAACTGGAACGAGGAATGGGAACAAGAGAGGGGAACAGGAATGGGAACGGGAGAGGGGAAATGGAAATGGGAACGGGAAAGAGAGAGGGGAACGGTAACAGGAATGGGAGAAGGGAACGGGGATCCCGGGGATGGGACAGAGCCCGCGAGGAGCTCTTCCTGAGGATGGAACCGGGGCCGTGAGAGGCGATCCCGGAGCCGGGACGGGCACCGTCAGGAGCCGTTCCCGGGGCTGGGACCGGGTGCGGGAGTGCCCCGCGGCGCTCACCCTGCAGCACGGCCGGGATGCAGGCGGCCTGCACGGGC